TTATTACATTAACTCCAAAAAATTCATTTAATCCGGTTGTAGAATTATTAAATTTTTCTATATAAACCCCTTAATCAGTTATTCATTCATATTTTCCCTAAACATACATCATATTGTCCTTCACTTTAGTCCAATCTTTCTGACATCAATCTGTTTTTGTCATTCTACCACCATATTCAGTTTTTTTAAACCCAAAATCACAATAGCATGAAGAGATTGACCTGCTACAACTTAATTGGAAACAAACGTCAAAAGGATGATGCTTCTCCACCATATGGTACACAATGACATTTGTGTCCTATGTTTAATATGAAATTTGTCAGGAAGTGTTATCTTTTTTTTGCTTTTACCGTGTATTCCAGATGTGTATGTATTTTGTTCTCCCATTGTACAGCCCAACTGCAAGTACTTTTGTTATAACATATGCTTTTATCTAAAAAACAATAATGACAAACGTTAGATTATATCATATATCATTAGAAATATGAACAATCTTGAAAAATGATGGGCTACAGGACACTTATCTCTGTATGTCTTTCATTCTCGCGTTTTATAGCGAAATTACTTATTCCCGTTACAACAGATGCTGCCTGCATGGAAAAACAAAATAATAAATGTTAGAACATATCATATTTGGCCAGTGATATAAAAAATATTCAAGAAGGATATGCTGAAATGAAACTTATCTCTTCAGAAAACAACCTGGTCGGCTCTTATTCAATTGATTATACCTGCAAAAGATTAGAACAGCTATTAGAGCATCTTTTTTACCCCAAAACAATTTGTCATTACATTCATTTGAACACTATTACACTAATGAGGATACTTTAAAACACAAGAATGTGAAGAACCTAGATATTACCTTAGTTTTCTGTCTGCGGTTCAAAAAGGAGTAACACAAGGTGAAATATGAAAAGAAATTTAAACATAAAAGTGAAAAAGACGGCCTTATTCGATTAAAAATACCATAAAAACTGTTTAGATTTTTGCAGATCTATTATAAAAATTGAGAAAATAAAAAATAATAAATTAAATAAACACACAAAAACAACAGATCGAATCTAACCCTAATGGGAATAACATAATATAAAATTTAAAAATTAGATAAACACAGAAACAGTACAGATCGAAGCCAACCCTAACGGGAATAACATAATATATAGATTAAAAATTAAATAAACACAAAAAACTAAAGATCTTTACAAATTTGTTACCTAATTACGATTTAAATACAAGAAAAATGTTTAATTTTTTTTTTAAAAAAAACGGATATTTGAATATCATCCAGATCTATGACGTAATCAATACAAAACACTTCATATCTCTATAAATATGTTATGCCATCCCGATTTTAACAAAAAAAGTTTAAAACAATACAAAATTGACAAAAATTCAGTAGATCTGCAAAGATTATCATGTAAGCGCCCGATTTGTACCGATATACAATGAATTAGTATATCGGATTTTCAAAATCGGAATGATTTCACTTTTTCGTCTCTCTTTTCATTCGAAAAAAATGAAATCTTAGTTGTTTCTTCGGTATCGGATTTCAGAATCAGAAAAGAATTGCCGGAGAAACATCGGATTTGGAAAAATTATCAGCGAAAAATAATCGAACATGAATGTAGAGAGAATAAATTAGAGAGAGAGAGAAACGGTCGACAGAAGATAGAGAGGCGATAGAAATGGCGAAATCGCAGGAGAAAGTAGGGTTTCGTCTATTTAAATGGTGTCGCCACCTGTCTTGGACTCGCATCGCAAATCTGTTCAGCATGCAACGCGAAAACCCTTTTTTTGCCTTACACATGTCGACTTAAATTCGGTTCTAAAAGGCTGGCCCAATGACATAGGTGTTGATGTTTAAAAATGACCAACAATATATTCGAACTGCACACTAAGATGTGTACTCGGTTCGGTCTGCACAAACAAATATGTGTGTGGTGTTCGCTTGTAAGATTGGACCGAATATAAGTTCTGTTCATGACTTACGTAGTAATTAATGAGAGAATTTACTCATTGCATTTAATGTTGTCTCTTGTTCCTTTTATAGGAGATGTGAGGGCTTATTACATTCCCTTTTTGGGATTTCTATTTTCTATTTCCTTTCACAAGATATTCTTTGATATTAGTCATTCCACATTTAATGCTAATGTACTATACAATCTAATCCAAATATTAATGATTCATCCGGGTCGTGCCACGTGTCCAATCAGATTTAACGCCATTAGATCAATGATCTTCAGATCTTGCTATTTAATGCGCTGGGTACGGACGATATTGGGTAATGATTAAGGTTGATTCTGCTTTCTTGCTCTTGTCCGTTCGGTACGCATCCTGCCTTTATCGCGGTCGATCCGACTTATTTCCTCCGCACGCGCGAGGGTTGGCCACGTGTCTAACCTTATACCCATTCATTCGGTCCATACCTCGTACAATAGGATAATGTTCTTTAGGCTTCATAAATACAGGCCCAATATAATTAATCCTGGCCCAGTAATGATTATGTATGAATAACTCAATTAGTTTGTTATTTAAAAAATGAATGCTAATATTTAATAAATACAATATTTAGAATATTTTAATCCAATATATAAAATATATATATATATGATAAAAAAGAGACCTACTTTATTTATAGTACAAAAAGTAAATATGTTTGTCAATTTTTACTGACTTAATGAAAGAGTTTAATACAAATAATATTATTTTTTATATCACAAACTTTCATGAAAATGTGTTTGATGTCATTTTATCTTTTTCCACAAATATTTTAATTATTAAAAATTATAATAAAAATAATTTATATGTTGTGTCTGGAACTTTAAAAAAATGTGATGCAACTCATAATTTAACTTTTTCAGTTTAATTATTGTAGGTACCTTATTTGATATGCCTACATCAACATCTTCGTTTCAAAGATCAGTTGTCACTTATAATTCACATTCTATAATTCAAGAAACTAGTATGTATTTTTCTTTATTGTTGTATAAGTATTTTTCTTTATTGTTGTATAAGTATTTTTCTGTTATAAAACTAGAAAGAAAAGAGAGAGAATAGAGAAAATATTTCTCTTAGGTACGATTTTCATTATAACTGAAGCTCCTATTTATAGGAAACTTCTGATGGCACAACCGTAATAATACAATTACATCGGGGGCAAAATAGTCATTCACATATATTATTGTATAACAAATAATTCATAACACTCCCCCTTGAATGACTATTTCTAAACATATTTTAACGGATTTGAATAACGCCCAATCTAAATATCTTGAAGTGTATCTTGTAGCCATCGGTACTGGTGCTTCAGTATATCAGGAAAACCCGGTGGGACAAAACCTGATCATCTTGAAATTATAACATTGCTTTCTCAGGAAAACCCAGTGGGACAAAACCTGATCATTATGGAATCACAACGTCTATCCTCAGGAAAACCCGGTGGGACAAAACCTGAGCATTGTGGAAGCACAACATTGCTCCCCCTCAAATAGATCATCTTTAATGGAGTATTCACGTGCTGCCTCGTTAAAACCTTGTCAAGAAAACCCAATGGGAAAAAAACTTGATCGAAGGAAAAAGAGTACAGCTACTCCAGTGTTTTCTCATCATAATGAGGAATCATATCAATTATCCAGTAGTCCTCATTATATCATGAATGTGCCTCGTTAAAACCTTATTAGGAAAAACCCAGTGGGACAAAATCCTAATGAAGGAAAAAGAGTACACTATTCATGTGAATACGCCATCCTTGTTGCCTCATTAAAAACCTTGCTAGGAAAACCCAATGGGACAAAACCTCAGCCAAGGGAAAAAGAGTACAACGCGTATTCTATATATTTACCATAATAACATTTCCATAATTTTTATGAATATCATAAAGATTCATTCAGATTTTCCGATACTGGTGGTATTTATGGTAATATTCCATATCATGCTTTTGCGCAACTATCATTCTTAAACTCATTCTCATCATCAACCGATTTCAATGGTCTTACTGCAAATAGTTCACAATATTCTCATTTCAGCTGATTTCATTCTCATCAATATCATTTATATAGCGCTATTCATTTGTTTGTGTCGACACATATTCATTTCCATTATTCCCCGTAATATATTGAGATATCTCATTATCAATTAATTTCGTATATATATATGCCTCCTTTCATCACTTATTTGGGGAATTTCAATTTGCACAATACCAACGCTTCCAGCATATCATATCATTTCATATATTTCACCACCATCAGTATCATTTAGTTTATGATTTGCACACTTTCAGTGTGATGCATATATCGTTTCCAAAATTTCAATAATTGATTCTCCCCCTCATCTTAACAGATCCCTGATCTGTATTTTCAGTATTGAGTTTCTTGAGGGGAGTTCATATAATCTCCATTTCATTTTCGATTTCAACATATAATAGGAGGACTTTGAACTCATATCACTTGTAATGTGCACATTTTTCTTTCATGAGTTCACCATATGAGCTGATTATATTACTAGCTTCATCACTTTCATATGACACTTTCTTTCATAATCATCTTGTGTCATTCTTTGATCAAACCATCTCGTAACTTCAGGTTACGTGTCATATACACATTCTTTTATCAAATCATATCGTAACTTCAGGTTACGAATCACACATGTGGCTATCTAGTGGATCCATAATATCTAGTAGCACACATGGAGGGGTAGTGGGCCCATATATATATCGTACCCCTTTCATACTCAGTTTGATCAAATATCGATTCACAAATATTTAGCTAGTAATAATTTAACCAATCGAGAACAAAACATCTCATAATCAGTTAATCATGCAAACCATCATAATTTATATCAGTAAACATCACAATAATTCATTGTGACCCATTAAACATATCACATCATCTTTCGGCGGCAATAAATGCACTTCAAGTGCAGATTCTGATCCACAATATTTAAATTCAGAACCGTATCACATGCGTATCAATCTTTCTGTCAGACATACTCTTTGTTTTTAGAGTCGTATAGCATACGCATCATTTCTATAAATTATCATGCAATCCATTTAATCTTTACGAACAAAGGTCCGAATTTACATATGGATTTGGCACTCTCAAATATCCGTAAATATTATTCTTTTGTTCCAGTAAATATCATAAAAAGAATTTATCGGTCCCGAATAGAAAGATTGAGGGTGCTGATGATTAATGATATTCCAGGTGATATTCGATGGTTGATTGAAGCAAAAGTTCGATTGTCGGGAGAGTTTCCAAATTCATACAAATATATGCCAGGTATGGGTAAGAGTACTTTTGCAAAGAAACGAAGAGCTAAACGATTAGGTGGATGCTACAAATGTGCTCGATGGACTTGTGACACACGATGTAAATCTGTGGGGTTCGTGTCCAAAAATCGAGAAGATAAAATAGCATTTATAAAGGATGGATTGAGTAAGGAGTCTATGGATCAAACGATCCACCAGATTCTTGAGACACATCCTAGTGGGTATGTGCATCGTGAGCTTCTGTCTCTATGGATTCGTTTCAAAAATGAAGAGGAACGTTATAGTCTCGAAAATATTGTTTCAAAAGATCAAGTTTGTAAAACTAGTCTTTGTTAGTATGAAAATCATACTAATGAAGTTTAGTAGTTGCACTGTAATTTTCAGAGAATCTTATAGCTGCCGACAGATAAGATTTATTTAAAACCCAACACCTTATCTGTCAGTTGCAATTGTCAGAAGAAAACAGTAAAATTATTTATCGCTTTGTAAAACTTTCTATTTAAATAGAGAGTCATTCATCATAATCATATGCCTCACAAACTTTTGAAAAAATAAGTTTATCAATAAATAGATGGATGTTTCAGAGCCTTCGCAAGGTAATAAATTTCTTCAGCCGATCAAAACCATATGTGTTCTTGGTGGTTCTAGACTAGTAAGTTCTTCTCAAAATGTTGATATTGTGAGTCAGTTAGTAAGGGATGTGGGAAATCAAAAAATCAATTTACTGTATGGAGGGACTAGCATCACTTTCTTTGATAATCTTTTATTGGCTGGAAAATGTTTTGAGATAGAAGTGAAAAGTATCATACCTTTTCATAGAGCTTCAACAAGGGTCGTCAAGGATTCCATATGCATGATGCTAACTCATTCTATTCATGATTGTATGATGGATATGGCGAGCAAGAGCGATGCATTTATCATTCTTCCAGGCGGTTATGGAATGCTAATGACAATGTTCATCCTTGCTTCTTGGGCAGAATTGAAACTTCATAACAAGCCCATAGGTCTATTGAATTTTAATAACTTCTTTTCTGGTTTGCTTGGATTTTTAGACCAAGGAGTATATCAAACATTTATATCTCCTCCAACGAGAGAAGCATTCAAATCTGCAGATACGTCTGCTGAGCTTATTAAAAAGCTTCAAGAATGCATCACATTTCAAGAGTCTGTGGAAACACAAGGGGTCAAGCGAAAAAGAGCTTTTGATCCTTTAGATCTCTCATTATGAACCCAGATAAAAATAATGGGTGGCAGAGTTACAGAGTTTTATACTCTCGAGACGCACCCTTCTTTGGTTCTATTATGTAATATTGATGTATCTTGTATTTATCGACTATGTATTGCCTCTTCTCCATATTTCCATCATATGAACTTTCTGTACTTGTTTCTCATTAATAATAATATCAATTTCACATTCTACAAGAAGTGTGTAATGTTTCATGACTACAATTATTGTCACGTGTGCTTCTTCTGGAGCACATCATTATAATATCTATATGATCTCATATTATCAATGTGATCTTCTCATCAGATATCTTCCCTAAGACTTATATATTGAGAAATCATTTTGTGTGATCACTCATAACTGGTAGCTTTTGAATCCAATTTCTCAAATTGTTCAATTAATGATAGCTTCTAGTACCACTTCATCGTTTTAATTTATCATAATGTGGTAGCTTCAAGTATCACTATACCATGATATCATCATTATGTTGTAGCTTTTGGTATCATATGGTAACTTCCGGTACCATCTCATCAATTCTCGTGACTCCACAAATTTGGAAAATTTATCAACTGTTTTTCATGATCATGCTAGTCCATATAATTTTCTTTCCCGATCAGGATTTTATTCAACTTTCACATGACCAGATACAAAGTATCATTCATTTCATTCATTGGCTATCACTTAATTAGTACTGCCCATCACCAGCGGCAGAGCCGCACTGGCCGACCCATGTATATATATAGCCATTGATATCCTTTTATATGTACCACATGGTCATTCCTCATCACCGGCTATTATACACTGGCCGATTTATTTAGCCGTTCAATATTTTCTGTTGCTACTGGTTGCAACACTTGGTCATTTCACATAACTATCATAATATTTTGATCAACAATTGACTCGTCGGCTACCATTAAATATTGCTTGCCGGCGGTAGAGCCGCTCTGGCTAATTTATATAGCCACACATATATTTTTCTTCGTATGACATGGGTTAATCCATAAATATCCACATGTCCATGTAAATAATTTTGACAATATAAAAATTCAAACATTTCATAATACCAATATATATATAATTTAATAAATTGATATAAGTATTGAAACAAAACTCTAATTAAATAGAATATTTTGAAAGAAAATTTAATTTTGATAATCACTACTTTGTATATCTAACAAAATCCAATGACATTGTTAAAATCTTGATATTAAATTCATGTGACTAATATTTCTATAAAAATGTATGCGTGTTTGAGCAATTTATTACAAAAGTCCACCAAAATAAAACATATCAAAAATTTATATGCTCATAATTTGTTTTTGGCATTTAATGTCATCTTGTAAATAGTAAAACTTTGACATGAATGGGTTGCCATTAACCATTTGTCATTTTCTTACAAAGTTGTCACAAGGCCCACTATTCAATATTATATCACCATATAGATTGATTTCCCATGCTCTTCACATAATGAAAGATCATTTTCTCTTACATCAAATACTTTCAATTTTCATCTTCCTTTCCATTAAACATTTCTATCCATTTCTATCCACTCTCTCTGTTTCTATTTTCTTTCATTTTCCTCCTCTTTTTCTCCACACGCAGCATACATAATACACCTTATTCTCCTTCAATTTTTTTTTCTTTTTCTTCTTCTCTTTTTCTACTTCTTTTTCTCTTTTAATCTATCCATTCTTGTAAGGGAAAATATATATGTAGTAGGATTGCAATTTTGCTAATGCAAAAATACTAATTACTTGGACATACCTGATGTGTGGTTTTCCAACATCTCCTCTGCCATGGATGGAAATTTATCTTACCAATGTAAGATTACAATTTTTTTTTTCTTTTCTTCTTATTTTTGCCATTAACATTACAAAGATAAAAGTTCTCATCAAGAATAATGAGGAAATTACGATTTGTAATCTTATGATTTCTGATACAGAAGATCATCTATAAGACGCAACTGTAGAGCATACTTTCATCGTATTACAAATCGAGCTCTATAGGGTAGAGACTCGTGCTGATAACGTGTTATAAAACTAGAAAGAAAAGAGAGAGAATAGAGAAAATATTTCTCTTAGGTACGATTTTCATTATAACTGAAACTCCTATTTATAGGAAACTTCTGATGGCACAACCGTAATAATACAATTACATCGGGGGCAAAATAGTCATTCACATATATTATTGTATAACAAATAATTCATAACATTTTCTTTATTGTTGTATTTATTATATCATTATTAAATATTGAGCTCATTATAAGAAAAATTGTATTATTTGTATAGATTTAGTTGAATATTAATTATTTTTTTATTTTAGGTGTTCCAGTCGCACATTCTCAGCTTTCATCCCAGAATAGTTCCATAACTCACATCGACACTGCTTCTTCGAGCGGTTTAGTAGATTTGATTGATCTTACAATGGACAATCATGAAAATGTGTCCCCGAGAACGCTGGTTAACAATGTTCGCAATGGTAATCTTATAAACTATCAATTATTATAAATATTTGTTTATATAAAAAATAATATTATATTACTTCTTTATATTAAGATTATAATCTTTTATTATTTTGTTTTCATTTGTAATTTAATATTTTGCAGTTTCGTCGGTAAACTTGCCACCTCAAAAGAATGTAGGCGATCGTCCGAGGCTCGCATTAACTCCTCTAAGAAATGATAAATTAGTTTAATTATCAGTTTTATAATTTAGATTGTATGACTTTGAAAAAAAAATTATATATTATTTAATCAATTAAATTATGATATAATTTGTATTAAATAATATTTTTTTCGCAGTTTCATCGTCAAATTTGCCACCTCGGATCAACGCAGGCGGTCGTCCGAGGCGCGAATTACCACCCCCACAAATGGTATTTCTAATTGCTTATCAAATTATCTAATTTATTCATTAATTAAACATAATTTTCTCATTTACATTTATATATTTATTTTGGTTGTTTATAATAACAATCCATTGTTTTGCAGTTTCGTCATTAAACTTGCCACATCGGACGAATGTAGGCGGACGTCCGAGGAGCTCAGTCCCTCCCCCCATATATGAGGATGTTTTGTCTGCTTTTGTTCGTAGTCAAAATATTTCTCGAAGGCTCATTGATACCCGAGGCTCATCTACATCTGTTCATTCTTTCAATTCATCCATCAACAACGGAAATTATTTACTTATGTTTACCGAATATTTTAATTTCATTTTCTCTTTTTTTTTTTTTTTTTCAAAAGTGTACCGCCAATACTTTGTATGATATATAGATAATTATGTTTTAATCTATTTGTTAAATTCTTAATTATTATAATTTACAGAATACTAGGATATTGGCGATCCATCGTACTGTTACCTTCAATTGTGCATCTATGACCCTGAGAATGAAATATCGAACAGACTATCTTCTGTGAGGTATATATATTATATTTTGTCATTAAAATTTGTGACTTACATCGTAATATTAGTTTTCTACATTTTATTAAATTATTCAAATTGCTATTATTTTTTTTCAGGAGTGGTGTCGAAAGAAATAATCTTGATGGCGAAGTAGTGCTTGGTTTGAAAGAGATGCTCGATCATTACAATGTTTTGGTTAAGTCGTTTAGAATGGCGCGGGAGTGGTTGAACCAACCCGAGCATCGCGAAGTTAAGACGTGACTTATTGGTAAAAGGAATAAAGATGGTCGGCGTTATAATTTACCGTCCACTTCTGAAGTTGCAGCGTTGGTTGTTGGCGATTTCGATGATGCTATGGGCAGCCGTGATATTATAATAGAACATCGGAGCGGACGTTTGCAGCATATCAACGAGTTGAACGCTTCCTATTTGGCTCTCCATTATCCTATTATTTTTCCATATGGCGAGGATGGTTGCAGGGAGGACATTCCATTTTCAGTCCTAAAACCGATTACGAAGAGGTCGAGGAAATTTATCAGTTCCCTGG